AGCAAAGGTCTCAAACTGTGTATATTTCATCCCATTTCTACAAGTCCTAGCCAAATAAACTACTGTAGACATAAAATCTTCCACTTTGCAGTGAGTCCTGAAAGCTCACACATTTTATCAGTCCAATTCCCTATTTTTCCTAAGTATCCCATACTCTGTACCAGCCCTAGAAAGCTAATGCCATTCAGCTTTCCACAAGTCACCTCTTCATTTGCTTGCTGTGTGGTTTGCCCCAGCACCCAGCCCTTCGACTCTCAGCCATGCACAACGCTCTACTTTTCCCTCAAAATATGTACATGCAGGAGAGTTCCTTCTCCTTGCCTCATGTCATTCTCATTTTAATCCAAAGATCTAGCCTTAGCAGAATTACTTGGAGGAGTGAATTCCAAAATGGAAATTTTAGCATGAAGAAGAAACTCAAAGGACATGCATGCAGGAGCGAAAATCAGAGTTTGGTGGTAAATGGAATAATAATTTTTCTACACAGTAAGAACTGCTTTAACGGGTGTTTGCATTATATTCTGAAGGGGGGAAATGTCTAGATGGGATAAGGCATTGTTATTTTGAAAAATAGTTAGAAATCAGCTTTTGGTGAACCTCAGCTTTCTCTCAGACAAGACAAGCATCCAAAAGGTTGGGCTGGGTTTTTTGTTTGAAATGTGTGCAGGTTTATTGGAAGATGTATGAGCCAAAGATCTGTGAAACTATGATGAGAAAGCTAGTGGTTTCAATTGCTGATATTTCCTGGTGTGGGCTGAGCTTTCCCTATTCCTGCTTCTAAAATCAGCTGAAAGCAAATAATGTACAGGAACACATAAATGTCATTAAGCATGCCCCGAATATTTTCATGTATGTCAGAGCTGATCTGATTTATGCTTTAGTGAAAGGTTGCATTGATTTTTAGATGAACTGTGTCCTCACACTCCTCGAGGTTGACTTTTTCACATAGTGGGCTTGATTATGAGAAAAAAATTATTCGCGCAACAAATAGCTCACACAACTCCGTGCCTAATTAAAGTAGCCAGTTAGTCAGAGCCCATTTT